ATCTTAAAAAAATTGGTTCTAAAAATAGTTTATGAGTTATTTCATTCAGTCAACTGCACAAATTGAACTACGCACCATATTTTAGTACTCATCCAGTCTTTTACAGAAAGTGTGCTTATGCATGAACACCGGTTTTAGGGGTAATTAATGTCCTGAGAATCTCAAACTTTCTTAGAGTCACAGTTTTTGGATCGAAATCGCAAATCTTGCTACTTAGTAAACTGTTATTTCCTAGTGACAAACTGTTGCACGACCACTAAAATGGCATTCAAGAAATGTAACAATCGAAAGCTTTGTAGACGTTGTCGGTTTAATTACAAAAAGTTAACCATAAACTGTAAACGGTTTTCTATAGCACTTTATTTTTGATTCTTCAGTGTTTTTAATTATTTTTAAAGATCAGTTACTGTCCTAATTGTATGAAAATTTTTTTCACTTCTCGACCATGTTTGATAATCAATTGTAAATAACAAGGCTCTCTTTATATACCTGTACAGTTTCAAGCATTAAACCACGGAATTACGATATATTCTGTGAATTAATTCCTTTTGTTTCATCTTTTCTAAGCATAAAATTTCTAACCATACTTAAACTAAGCATAAACAGTATTACTGAGAATAGTAACTTTCTAACTCAATCATCAAGTTGAAAAGGGGTAGCACAATATAGTGATAACACGAGATAGACTAGTCTACCCAGTACGAATACTTTCTATATTGCGTGGTTATGCATTTTTTTAAACATTATACTTTCCAACATCTTAATTTTCATATTATGCACAATTAAATCGATTCATAGGTGTAACGACTTGGTGACAATAATCATTTTGTTTTTTCTTATATAACCAAAAAATAATCTTATAAAGAACTGTTGTAGTAAGTTTATTTGTTTTTGATATATTGGTAGGAAGATGATAAAAAAGTGAGTTAGCTATTAATGTATGGTTTTTCGTATGGTATAATTACTTTCTTTGTTGCTGTTATTGATTCCTCTTTATTTTTTTTAAATGTATGATTTTTTTACCTTTGATTTACTATCCCATATAAATTGGTTATTGTTTATTTTTGTATTTATTTCTGTTAATTATCTTAGTTTATCATTTTATGAGTGAATTTAATTCAATAATCTGATACAAGTATTCAAACATTTCACTTGTTAAACTCTTCTGTAGTACAAGATAGAAGCACCTGCAGAATACAAATTATAAATATTAAGTTATTAGTTAGATGAACTTTTCGTATATGCTTCCATATTTTGTTTCCATTTTACATCTAAATATAAATGACTAACAGATTTATTAAATTCTGAGTTATTTCGTCCATGTAGTAGTTAACATATTTGCTGAATAAACTAGTTCACTAGTAATTTTATGAAAAAAAAATCTGAAGGGATCACTAAAAAACTAAAGGACACTAAATAGTAACTTCGTTTTAGTTTGAGACTACTTAAACAATCAAGCTCAGAGAACAAAATTCCATCAAAAACTACTTAATAGTCTGCACTCATGAATACACACACTTAATGGAATCCAGGATATTCAGTTTTTACGACTCGCATGATACATTTAGACCACTGATTACTAAATCCATTTGTTTACTTTTGGATCTTGTGGCATACTCACTTAATATTATCAGTAAGTTACATGATTCACGTTCTTTACTCGACAACTCATGACTTCTTATCGTAGCACAAGGATATACATTTTGATACTAATCAATTGATAAACACGACATTTCGATTTAAATCATTTTGTAGAAATTTCTGTATATTTTTAGAGTAATTCTCATTACAAATTTAAGCTGAAAATCAGTGAATGCAGAAGACCACTGCACAGATGTTTATTTATCAGATCACGGTTTTTCGGTTACTCTTATTTACTTTTACATTCAATTATGAATGAAGTATGTTATTATCTTGCAAATACTGCCTCTTCACTTCGCCAATTTTCTGTTTGAGTAAGTGGACACTAGATATACGTTGATGAATTCATTAGTTAATTCATAAAATAATATGTAATTTTTCTCTGATTATGACAAACTGTTAATCCGATTAAGAAATACTGATTCATTTTGTTCTGTCTTATATTGATAAAATATGATTAAAAGGATTTAAGTTTAAGCATATGCAAGATTTTCTTTTGTTTCGTTGTGTAATTTTATGCCAGCTTATTTCTTGTTCTGTTTTAAATGGAATTTCCAACTATTTAGTCATTACATGATTTAAGCGTTCTAAAGTGCTTTTGACTTCACACGTAAGCACTAATTAGTTTCTATAAGATGAATTATATTTATTTGTAATATTGGTTCTTAACTAATTAGACATTCATACAAGGGGACTGGATGTATGCTAATTCAGTAAACTACTATTGTCATAACATGGAAATAGCAGGAATAATGGTCAGAATTTAGCTCATTTTAGTTTATAACAGAAGGATCTAGTCAGGTAATTGGCATTATGTAATGCAAACATTTACTGGTATTTCTATTTGGCATTTAATCCTGACTAAAATAACCGTGTTATAGACTGACTGCAATTTTCATTTTAACAGTTTAGTAGCTCGGTCATGGTGATCTATTATTTCGAAGCTTTTTAGTTTGTCCAGTCGTGGTTGTTGTTTAGTTTCTTTTTTAGGAGATGGAGTTTAAAAACATGCACTTTGACTGAAATATTAGTTTATAGGGTACATATGGTTTCTAGTTTTAGACTCTACTAAGTAAACAGATCAGATGCACATAGGATCTTCAACGTTTCACATTCTGTAAACACTTATTTCCCTTATTAGCATACTTTTCAAGTCTTTTCATTCTGCTTCACTTGAACTACTTGCCAATTTTTCGGGTGTTTCTTTATTTGTTCATCAATATTTTGTGTTTGCACATATAGTTATTTTCAGGTACTAATGTATTTACACCTAACATGTTATGAATGATAACCTATTTTTGTAGAGCAAATTTTATATATATATGTATCCTCCATCCCATTGATTAGTCATTCGTATTATCTTGTTTTTGTTTTCTTCTGTCTGCTTTTGATAAACCGAATCGTTAGGTATCAATTAAAGTTGTTTATTTAAAGGTACTGTGGTTTGTGTATAGTTAGGCACTGAATCTCCCCTTAACATTCAACTACGTATGGATTTTCTGTGCAGTACTTTATATTTTACATTAATTCTCTCTCTCTGTATATATATATAAACTAAGGGAGAGTTGAAAAGTTTTATCGTCGGAAATAGACCATACCGGAACCTAACAACATTCAACTCTGCACACTATCACTAATTCTATTACTTAACAGCGTTGAAATTATGCGTCCCATGGAGCTTTTTGGCTCCTGTCCTAATTTTATGTTTTAAAATATCTGGCTGCTTAATTTGAAAGTTCATGTGAGGCTAGCAAACATAGCTCTCAGCTGTTGCCTCCATTTGACTTATTTTTAGATATGAGTAATGCAATTGTGGAAGAAGTGATAACTATAGTTTTGTAGAGACGACAAATTGCTCAGCAGCCAGCAAGCATTTCTTAACGAATCATAGAGGCAATGTCTGTCAAAATAACTGTTGCAGCTCTTTGAAATCGATTTTCAAGAACTTTTTCTCGAATGGAACTTAGTAAAATCCCACGGAAACAGATTGAGGACAGGGACTTTTTCTAACTCATCAAGCGACTATGTAATGGTACGAGTAACATCTGCCACTATATAGTCAACTTCTGAAGTGATCATACTTGTATTATTTTCTAAATTCACATGTATATCTATACATATATACTCTTCTGAATTTCCCTACTATATATATATATATATATATATATATATATATATATATATATATATATATATATATATATATATAGATGTATAGTATATCTAGATTCTCTTTTCGCTTTTGTCATGCTATGTAGAATGGCGTTAGTTGTAGAGCTACGCATAAATTAGAACATTTTGGTTACATTATAGTTTCCAATGAAAATGTTAATTAACTAGCACAACACCAATTTTTTAAGGTGTATGAAAATTAAATATAAAAGTTCATGTGTTCTTAATGATGAAGTCATATGTTTTCAGATTTAAACCGAATATAGGTCTTAACTAGTAATGAGTATTGAGAATTATTTCTCAAACAACTGCTATGAGCTCTGGATATCTAGCTTGATTTATTTTAACTATTATGTTATACTTCACAAACACGTATCAATATTCTGTTACACATCATGGAAACTCCAATTAATGGCACTTAATTAATTTATTTATTCAAATGTATTGATATTATTGTCAAGTTGCTACGGAATTTTGAAATGAAGTGAACTAACATAATTCTACACATTTACTTTAGAGAATTTGTTATTCCTATGAATTATTGTTCTTTTTTAAACAACTGTAAATCGTTTTGTAATCTGATTTTTAAATGATATAGTGTGTAGTTTGGGGTGTTAGTCACTGATTTATTTGTTTTACCATACCAATTATTATACAGTTTCATAAGGTTGGCTATCATTATTCCTTTTTTTTTTTCTTATTTGTGTTGTAAAGTGTAATTTGATTTGCTTGATTCAGTGCACTTTTTAATTATCATTAGTTCACTGCTGAAATATGAAACCTAAATAATCAGTGATCTTTACGTTCATTGATGTTTGTTATTAATCGGTGTATGTCAAAACATTGCTTCTAGTTTGATAAATGTATTATTTAAAATATAGGCTTTATAATTTTTCTTTTGTTTAACATCAATATAATAAATTCTGCAATCCAATATCTTAATGAATTACCAACTTTTTTTTCCACTTTTGAAATTCTATCGGAATACGCTGCTATCATTGAATAATCTAACATAAACCGGTATTTATTTATTTATTTAAAGAATGTTCACTTTTTGTGATTCAGCTGGGAAAATTATCCTTAATATCGATTGATCAGAGTTCTAAATTCATGAATCTACTGATAATATTTAGTTCCGTTGTAAAATTAATCAAAATTAACTGATTTTTTTGTTGAAATTTTTATAGCTTAAGAAAACACAAGAAAAATTAGCTAAAGCGGAAAAAGATGTTCATCGAACTCGTGATGCATATAAAATGGCATTAGCTGATTTAAATACTGAAAGTTCACGATATGTTGAAGAAATGACTAAAGTAAGTAGTTAAAAGAAAATTAACAATTATGTTTTCTTTTTAAATTTTCATGATTGAATCTATATTATCTACAAATAAAATAATTGTTTAATTGTTGTTTCCATATTTATTAATATTGAATTACTTCTAGATGGGTTGTTTTAATTGTGCTTCATTTCTTCTTTTTATTCGATTTATTCACCAAAGTATTTTTAAACGCTTATTTTATTGTTAGATAGATAATATCTATCTTGAAATAGATCTTTATTTTTGAATTCACTCTCGCCCAGTGATTAAACTGGATTGGTGAATGTGAAGAGTCAGTCAGTCAGTCGAAAACAACGTGGAACTTCGTACGTACGTACATCAGTTCGAGTTGCCATACCACATTAGCACAGAGATTCAGTTATCAATTCAAATCCCGTAGTGGTAGAGGTAGTGAAAGTATAAGTAGTGACAGGGAACATTAAGGTTTGATGATGTTATTTAAGGAGTATAATCAAGTGGAATAGATTTTGAAAGAAAATAAAGGAATTCACAAGAGAGTGGATGCACCTGTGCCATCGCAAACGATTTTAAGCCATGTCATGTCAGGGCCTGCTGCTCTCCCACGCTTCAGATTTCCCACGATCTCCAGTCGACCTGAATGGCAAGTTAATGTAAGTCCTCCGACTCTTCACGAAGTTGAAAAAGCTATAGGAAATCTGAAGCGTGGGAGAGCATCAGGCCCTGACAGGTTTACCCCTGAGATTTTTAAGGATGGCGGTCCAGTATTAGCAGCGAGATTGACTGAGGTCTTAGGTAGAATCTAGGAACTGGACGTAATCCCATCTGACTGGTCTCAATCACTGATTGTGCCAGTCTATAAGAAAGGACAAAAGTCTTCTTGTGACAATCACAGAGGAATCAGTTTGACTAATATAGTGTCTAAAATATTAGCTTCAATAATACTTCGACGTCTAACCAAAGCTCGTGAAGAGCAGACTAGAGAAAACCAGGCTGGTTTTCGACCTGGACGTGGTTATATAGATCAGATATTCACACTACGTCAGGTCCTAGAACGTAGACACACATTCAGATGTCCCACAATAGTAGTATTTCCCAACCTTAAAGTTTCACTCGACTCTTGATCGTGAGGTTCTATGGCAGTGTTTGTCACTGAAAGGAGTACCAAAGTAGTACATTAACCTTATAAAAACTCTCTACTCGAACACAACTGGTCGAGTAAGAGCTTATGGCGAACTGTCATCAGAACTGATTACCTCATTTGGTGTTCGTCAGGGCTGTCCACACTCTCCATTCTTGTTTAACTTTGTCGTTGACGTGCTTTTAGAAATAACACTTACCTCATCTACATTTCCAGGAGTTGAACTTTTACCGGGAGATTCACTTTTTGGCTTAGAGTATGCCGATGACATAGTTCTATTTGGTGAAGACGCTGACAAAATGCAGAGTCTGCTGACCACTCTAAGCAACAATGCAGGCATGTTCGGGATGCGATTTTCTCCCTCGAAATGCAAAATGTTGCTTCAGGATTAGGTTGCACCGCCACTCGAACTAGTGATAGGGAGTGAAGTAGTTGAGCGTGTCGACCGCTTCACTTATCTGGGAAGTCTCATCAGCCCTTGTGGTCTGGTGTGACGAAATCTCAGCACGGATACAGAAGGCTCAACTAACTTTTTCCAACTTGCGTCATTTATGGCCTAGGCGAGATATCCGTCTATCAACCAAAGGACGAGTTTACTGCGCAGCAGTTCGCTCCGTCCTACATTATGGCAGTGAAACATGGACAGTAAGAGTAGAGGATATTCGTAGGTCACTAGCATTTGATCATAGGTGTCCTCGAAACATTGCTCGTATATCCTGGGACCACCGAGTAAGTAACTCAGTTGTGGCTGAAGGCCAGTTGAACTGATCCCTAAAGTGTTCTGCCCATCGATCCAATCTCCTGGGTTGAGAATGAATAATATGTCCATCTTTCTCTGAGATTGTTTCGCTAACAGTTGGGTTCCTAGTACCGGTTTCCTTAACAAGTCTGAACAGTTGCCTGCTGTTACCTATTGCCGCTGCCTTTTCCATCTCTCTTGCTTTCGCTACCCACCACTGTTCACGATCATTGCGTAGGCTTCTAGTCAGCTTACGCTTAAGCTGACTTCGCTCTTCGTTATGTTCAGAGCCAGATGGAATGAGTTTTCGAGCATCTATCAGTGCGGTAGATGCTGCTGAGATCCAGTGTTTCTCCCTAACCTTGTGGTTTACCGTACTTGCAGACATCATCACTGCTGTTTCTACAGCTTTTCGGATGTCATTCCACGCTGTCTCGGGGTGGGCATCAGTTACATGGCTGTCTAATTGTTTTTCTAGATGTTCCTGAAATATACTCTTAGCTTGACTATCATTAAGTAGGACTCTAAGGGGTTTCCTTGCATCATCTTTCCTGCGTCCAGTAAGACGTAGACAAATACGCGCTCGCACTAGAGCATGATCTGAGTCTAAGCATGTGCTCCAGAATGAGCGACAGTCATCTATCGAGCGATGTGATCTATTTGGGTCCAGCGTTGAGACGAATTAGGGGGTCTCCATGTTAAAAGATGTTTTTCCTTATGCTTAAAGTTAGTGTTTGCAAGAAACAGGCAGTTATCTGAGCATAGCTGCAACAGACGGTCGCCGTTATCTGTTCTTTGAGCCGCGACACCACCCAGGTGTATTTCGCTTTCGCTTAGTTTACCTACTTGAGCGTTAAAGTCACCAGCCACTATTACTACATCTGAACGCCTAGCTTTTCGGAGGTCAGAAAGCTTTCTGTAAAACTCATCTTTTACATTATCTGAGCTGCAGTCAGTGGGAGAGTAGGCAGAGACGACGAAGAGGCAACGACGTGTGTCCCTATCTTTACGAGTCCTTACTGTTCCGTTTAGTCGGACAGCTCACAAACGACTGTCTACTGGGATCCAGTCTAAGAGAGCTAGTTCTGCCCTAGGACTCAATGCTATACCTACGCCAGAGAGGCCACGGGAAGCAGCATCAGGGCTTCCAGATACACGAAGCGTAAATCGAGTTGGTTCGTTACTTTGACATGGTGCAGTCAAATGAATGACACTACTCGGATCCTGTGTGCGCGTTTCCGAGACGCAGCACACATCGATGGAGCGAGATTCTAAAGTCTTAGCTAAGGAAGCCTGTTGTCCTATTTGGCACAGTGTTCGGACGTTGAAAGCTCCTACGTGTAGTTTAGAGCGTGGTTTCAGGAGACCAGGAATAACATTCCGCGTACTCGAATCGTTTGCACTAGCGGGGTGAGGAGATGAAGAAACGTGAGAAGGGTTACTTGTGGAGATAAGAGAGTTATTAGGAGGTGTAGGAAGGATTTGAATGTGATCAACTTGGTCTCGTGTGCTGTGACGGGTATGAGGCTTGATGTCACTTCCCGGCTGCCCACACCGTGGAAGAGTATTTCTTGAGGAACCTGAAAAGTAAATCGGATTAGCGTTGTTCTTAACGACCTGGGAGCGTGACCACAGAGTCCAAGGGACAACTGCTTGAGGCCGGTCGCGCACGGCCTTTTTGTGGGAGGTTTGTAATGTGTTAGCTCCGTTCTTCAAAGGGCCTTACCGCCGGAGACGGAAATCCGTGGGGTAAGGTGAGGTGTGACATTTTTAGGGTCGACGTTTTCTAACCCCTTCCTTCCTTGTGAGAAGGCAGCATCGCTGCAGATGCTGGTTGTCCGAGGGAAACACCTTACTGTTATCACACCTCTGTACAGTCAGCAGTACGACTTCGCCCTCAGACCTTGAGTTTCTGCTTTTAGTCTTACCGTTCTCCAATCGACCTGCCTGGCATGGTAGAACCTGCAGGAACATGTGTTCCAGCCAATATAGCTCGGTTGGGTCATCACGATAGGCAAGCCCGATCACCACGTCCAGGTGGCAGCTACGGTCGGGATGTGAAGAGTACACATAGATTAGTTAGAAAAACACTGATTCTCAATCTACTTTAGTTGTTACTGGTTACTGTGGGGTTACATCTGATATTGTTCCACTATTACGTCAAAAGCTTGGCGTTTGACCGTCTAGGAAAATTAGCTGCTCTGGTTTTATTTCATCAAAAAAAAAACACTATCATCCTGTTTTGTGTGACCCATTCTTTCAGTACCCTGTTGTGCCGAAATTTTTGTTTGTTATGATTAAAGAAATATGCCTATGGAAGATAGCGAAAAAAGTCATTAAGATGTTGAAAATGGGTTGGTATATATATATATATATATATATATATATATATATATATATATATATATATATAATTTTATCATTTTATTCAGTAGACTGTGAACTTAAAATTAATATGAGCATATTAGAGATGTCCCTTCTCCTGACGACAATTTGTGGTTTCTTAATATCTTATGATTGTTCTGCAATCACAACTATGTTGCATTGTAAGATCATCTGATCCCGGTTGATAAATTTATCATTCATTAGGTCAGTGCCATCAATTCAAACATTAATATCTGCTGGACGACGTATAGAATCACCTACTAGGCTATGGTCTTCATCCATTGTCGATATCCGACTGTGTATAGACCAGTTTCAATCGTTAATATTCACTTGATAAGAATTGTGATTTTAAATTAACAAACCTCAGCTATGTATTATATGACATAAACGTAATAAAATTTATGATGTCTGTTATGACACTATTGGCATTCTATAACCACACTTCCCTGTTTTGTCAGGTATATGTTCTCTCTGACGTAGTATATTCCGTTTGTTTTGTAAAAATAGTGTTATTATTTTACCATATATTAACATTGGTTTCTTTGTCGTTTTACTGGCTCTTTGTTTCACAATGATTAAGTGTTTATTACTTCTTTATCATTTACATTGTCATATTGGTTGTCAAATGACAACTATGCAACCAATAATCTAAAGGTTCATGCATAAAAGTCATATTTTATAAACTACGACATCTTAGATCATTTTCGAAAGCATACAGGCATTGTAAATTATGAATCACCGAAGTGGATC